CATTCCAATACCTTCAATTGGATATATAATATGCCCCAAAAAGATCATATATAGCTCATGAAATTTATTTCTCAAAAAGCATCCTTAGTCGGTTTTTCCGCAACTTAAATTCGATTTTTCTCAAACTTTATATTTCATATCCAAACATCATAGTCATATCATGTCTTTAAAAATATTTAAATCATGATTAACAAGTCTCATATTCACCTTAACTTACTTAACACTTTGGCAAACCTTTCTTCTCCTTGTAGAAGGACTTCATCCTTTTTGAGCTTACATTAGATAATCCCATAATGATAGTGACGTATGAAGTACAGGGTGTAACAACATGTACCCTTAAAAATATTTTTCCTTGAATATTAACTCTTAAATTCTTGCAAAAGAAATGGGATGTAACGCCATCAAATCACTTTATATACTTTCAAAGAGGATCTCATTTCTGAGCTTACATCAATTGACTTACGCCGTATTTTCACGTACAAAACATGGGTTGTAATAGATAATCCTACCAGAGAATGATGTTCAAGGCACCAAGGTTTATCAGAAACACTTGGAAGAATGTCTTGCTATTAAACACATCATTCTCGCTTCTATGATTTCTGAACTCCAGCGGAAACATCAGAATATGGATCCGACTGCAATCATTGAATATCTTAAGAAGATGGTTGATACACAATTGGACATTGAAAACTCTCCAGTTGGACCCCTTGTCAATCATATGATTGTTCTTACCAAAGAACATGAGAAGTTGGGGTACAAGCTTGGTAAAGAGCTTTCTGAAGATTTGACTTGCAGTTAGTATATGATGCTGAATGTTTTCACTGTAAGAAGAAAGAGCATTGGAAGAGAAACTACAAGGAGTATCTTGCAACTCTAAAGGACAAGAAACAAGGTGAGACATTAATGAAAAATATTTTCAAGGTTTCTTTAGCTACTACTAATTCTTCACTATAGGTATATGATACTGGCAGTAGTTATAATATCTGTAATATATTGCAAGGGTTCAAGATAAGTAGGAGGCTAAACAAAGGAGAAGTTAATCTACAAGTTAGAAATAGTGCAAAAGTTGCGGCCGTAACTATAGGATCAATTTCATTAATAATGTCTACGGGCAAAGTACTTATGTTGGATGATTGTTATTACGTTCCTAAATTTGTTTTGAACATAATTTCAGCTTCTATGTTAGACAAATGTGGTTTTCGCATTATTATAGGCAATGGCATTTGCTCTATTAATTATGGTGATAATTTATATGTGAATGGCTATCTCCAACATAATGTTTATGTCTTACCTAATGTGAATGCTAATTCGATTATGCATGTTTCAAGTCTTAAGAGGAAAAGAGATGATCATATAAATCATATATACCTTTGGCATTGTAGGCTTGGTCATATTGGAGAGAAAAGAATTAACAAGTTGTACAAGGAAGGGTACCTTGACAAGTATGATTTTGAATCATATCCAACTTGTGAATCTTGTCTCAAAGGAAAAATGACCAAATCTCCATTTACTGAAAGTGGAGAAAGAGCTTTTGAATAATTGGGACTAATTCATACAGATGTTTGTGGGCCCATAAAAATTCAAGCTAGAGGTGGATATTCTTACTTCATCACCTTCACTGATGATATGTCAAGATATGGATTTGTGTATCTTATGAAACACAAGTCTAAATCTTTTGAAATGTTCAAAAGGTTCTGTAGTGAAGTTGAGAAGCATACTAGTAAAAGTATCAAAGTACTAAGGTCTGATAGAGGTGGAGAATATCTTAGTGAAGATTTTACCAGATATCTCAAAGAGAATGGGATTCTCTCACAGTGGACATATCCGGGAACACCACAACACAATGGTGTGTCTGAAAGGAGAAATCGAACCTTATTAGATATGGTGAGATCTACGATGGGGTTCACTGATCTTCCAAAAAATTTATGGGGATATGCTTTGGAAGCAACAACATACTTACTTGATAAAGTTCCTACTAAGTCAGTCTCTACAACGCCATATAAGATATGGAAAGAATGTAAGCCTAACCTTAAACATATTAAAGTTTGGGGTTGTCCAGCTTATGTTAAGAGACTACAGTCTGATAAACTTGACTCAAGATCTGATAAGTGTAGGTTCATTGGGTATCCCAAGGAAACAATGGGATATTATTTCTATCACCCTACTGACCATAAAGTGTTTATGGCCAGAGGAGCAACCTTTTTGGAAAGAGAATTTCTTTAGAAGGAAATTATAATGGAGAAATAGAACTTGATGAAGTTCAAGAAACTAATGAATCAACACAATATAAAGATCATGAGACCCAAGTTGAAGAACCTTTATTGGATGTTTTAAAGTTGCCAAGGAAGTTGTCATCTTCAACGGTTGAAGTTCAAGAACAGGTTAATGAACTAGTTCCAAACCAAATTGAACAACAACCAAATCCAGTACAAGGTGAACAGGTTGTACAAGCACCTCTTAGAAGGTCTATACGAGAATGTCATGTACCAACTAGATTAAATCTAATAGTACAAGATAATGTATCAAATGAGGCTGATCATAATGATGATGATCGTAAGACCTATGAAGAGGCTATCCAAAGTTCTGATTATAAGGAGTGGCAAAAGGCCATGGAATCCGAAATGGAATCCATGAAGGAAAATAAAGTATGGACTTTAGTTGAACCTTTAAAGGATATAAAACCTATTGGTTGTAAATGAGTTTTTTAAGAAAAAGATTGGAGCAGACGGAAAGGTGGAGGCCTACAAAGCCCGTCTTGTTGCCAAAGGATATCGTCAGAAAGAAGGAGTCGACTATGACAAGACTTTCTCTCCCATGGAAATACTCAAATCAATTCGGATTTTGCTTGCTATAGCAGCATACTATGATTATGAAATATGGCAAATGGATGTGAAAACAACTTTCCTTAATGGTGAGCTAGAAGAGGATGTGTACATGACATAACCAAAAGGTTTTACATCTTTGTCTGATCATAATAAAATTTGCAATCTACAAAGATCCATTTATGGACTAAAGCAAGCTTCTCGAAGTTGGAATATTCGCTTTAACAAGACAATTGAAAAGTTCAATTTTGTTAGATGCGAAGAAGAACCTTGTGTGTACAAAAAGGTTAGTGGGAGCATAATTATATTCTTAGTGTTGTATGTTGATGATATATTGCTCATAGGGAATGACATACCGACATTGTATGTACCAAGATTTGGCTATCTGAACAGTTCTCCATGAAAGAATTGGGAGAAACAACTAATAAATTAGGAATAAAGATCTATAGAGATAGATCGAGGAAGCTGCTTGGACTTTCCCAATCTTTATATATTGGTACCATTCTGAAAAGGTATAATATTGATAAATACAAAATAGGCTATCTACCGATAGGCACTGGAATTACTCTCAGTAGGGAGGATTGTCCTAAAACACCTGAAGAGAGAGAACGCATGAGTAGGATCTCATACGCTAGTGCGGTGGGAGCTATCATGCATACCATGACATGTACACGTCCTGATATGGCTTATGCACTTGGAGTGACTAGTCGAATCATGCAAATCCTTGTGAGGAATATTGGAAGGGGGTGAAGACCATTCTCAAGTACTTAAGAAGGACTAAAGACCATATCCTCATTTATGGATATTCTGAGTTGAAACTTGAAGGTTAAAGTGATGCAAGTTTCTCTTCAGATAGAGATGATAGCAAATCTATTTCTGGTTATGTATTCACCTTAAATGGTGGTGCGGTGAGTTGGAAAAGTTCCAAACAAGCTACAGTAGTTGATTCAGTGACTGAAGCAGAATATATAGTAGCTAGTGAAGCTGCTACGAAAGCTGTATGGATGAAAAAGTTCTTAACTGAACTTGGTGTGGTTCCTTCAATAGAAGGTACAATTCTATTATTGTGTGACAATACTAGAGCCATTGCTCAAGCAAAAGAACCAAAATCACACCAAAAATCCAAACACGTTCTGCCAAGGGATTACTTGATAAAAGAAATCATTGGACGTGGAGACGTCTAGATTCAAAAGGTTGATGGAAAGAAAAATGCCCCATACCCATTCACTAAAGCTCTTGGTGCAAAGGAGTTTGACAAGCACAAGTGAAAATTGGGAATGAAGTACAAGAGCGATTGGTTCTAGTGCAAGTGGGAGATTGTTAGGGATATAGTAGATATGCCCTAGATCCAATATCATATTTGATGATTTGAACATATTTTTGTGAACGTTATTTGATATAAAATATATATGGTAATTTGATATTCTTTTATCATTATTATTAATTCTTGAGAAGAAAAATCACTTTGTGAAAGTGAGAGTGCAACACAAGCCAAGGGAGAAAATACAATTACAAGAAAAGTGTTTCTTGTTCTTCTAACATTGAGTTGAGATTTTTGAGAAAAATTTCAACACAATATTTTGTTCAATTTGTTCGCGGGTTTCGTTGATCAAAGAATTGATAGAAAGGGTGGTCTCGTTGTGGATATGCATAGAGTCTTTGCACTATCGAAGAATTTGAAACGATACTTTCTTCACCAGGTACGTCTTAGATCCGATCTATTGATATTTAAATAAATTTTAAACACGAAAAGATCTGCCTAGGATTGTTATTGTATTCCGCTGCGTGTTACGAACTCCTATATGCAATCCTTCACTATTGTGTTATAAAAAAGAAACTTAAGTTTAATAGACATACTAATAACAGAACAGTTATGCACTAATTCCAAACAAGTTATTGTTGACTATATAAATTTGCAATATTCATGTCGCTCCATTTAAGCTCGTAGTCCAATATTATGCACACAACTAGCTTCTCTTCTAGCATCAGATTAGAAATTCTCTACATTTGCTACAAAGATATATATCTATAACAAGATCAAAATAACTCCTAACAAACATTGGATCTATTACAAACATAATGTCGCTACTTCAATTTTCTTGATATTTTGCATTCATCCGTCAATTCATATACTCTAGTAAATTTACTGAGAAAAGTCACATTGATTAATGTTTACAGGTGAAGGTGATGAGTTTGACAGACATACTGATATCCCCACACGGAGCACAATTAACAAACATGTTCCTCATGGACAAAAACAGCAGTGTGTTAGAGTTTTTTCCCAAAGGGTGGCTCAAACTTGCAGGCGTAGGCCAATATGTGTATCACTGGATAGCTAGCTGGTCGGGGATGAAACACGAGGGAGCTTGGCGTGACCCTGATGGTGATCCCTGCCCTTACTCCGACGACGATAGGCGTTGCATGGCCGTTTATAAAGGTGCCAAAATTGGATACAATGAGACATATTTTTCTGAATGGGCTAGAGGTGTTCTCAGTGAGGTGAGAATAAGGAAGAAGGAAGAGTTAGCCTCAAAGAAGAAGAATTCAGATCATGCTATTCCTAGTGGATGTCAATGTAGTAGCTAAGTGCATGCTTCTCCTTGTACTCCCTCTGTGTCAATTAATTTATGTCATGTTCTTCCTTTTAATGATACATTACTATATTTAATAATTTGACTTAAAAGCTTTTCAACTATTAATTAATGAGATGATTTATAGTCAAATAAATATATGTGGTTTGTTTTAGACTACAAGTTTCAAAAGTTTTTATTTCTTTCTTAAATTTCTCTACAATATTATGAATTGACGATCACAACATATATCATGCATTCTTGGGAGAAATTCAAAAATAGCCAGATTTACAAGTGGTCATTGAAAAATAGCCACAGTTTCAAAAGTAATCGAAATTTAGTCACTTTTCATGTAAAGATAAATCTGAATGAAAACACTGTTCAAAATCCGAAAAATATTCCAACATAATATACTGGAACTCTAGTATAATATACTAGAACTCTGGTATATTATACTGGAAGTCTAGTATATTATACTGGAAGTCCAGTATATTATACTGGAGTTTCAGTATATACAGGTGTCACACCTCCTTTTTGCGTGCCCGGCCCCGAAGGGTTAAGTGCGCGGGTGGAGTTTTTCCA